TAATAGCATAGTATGTGCAAATCTGATAGTGTTATAAATGATCATATACAATATTGTGAGGCATTCCAATATGTTTTAGGTTTACAAGGTACACTTGAAAATGATAATGTAGCCTGAAATGTAAGTAATAAATTAGGTTTAATATTTTCTAATACTAACATTATTGACAGTTCGCAAAATTGGTCTATACTATTGTTTAAAGAAGCGTTTGCTATACGTAGGCTACACACATTGCTTAACAATGGGCTGAAAGCTTCAAAGGAGCTTTCTTTGTTTTTGTAGGTAGCTTTGATCAGAAGGATAAGAATGATTTGATCTTTAGTTTATTCATAACTATGTCACCTACTAGGGGTAATGTTTTTATTGGTCAATCACTTTTGGTACTTGTGCATATAAGCTTACAAATATGGATAATTTTTCATTCCTGATGATGACATAATTAATTTCGAAATATTGAATCCCGACACGATAGCGTGCTTGGAGTGTGTATTATACTATCTTAACCCTGTATTGCGTTTGCAATGTTACAATGTGTAACATTGCAAAATGAAAGGTCTGCGCATTAACAAGCATTGCCATTGGATATATTATAGTCAGGTTTTATCAAACTAGTGTTGGTGTTCAATTTATTTAAAGTTATTATGTTTAAAATATTATTTAATTTTTCCATTCTCTACCCATATAGGGCAATAAAATAATGCTTTTGAAATCATCCACCAATCTTCAATTAAAAATTAAGTTATATGCATAGTTCTTATCTTAATTTTTCAGTTTTCATTTTTTATTAAAACATCTTCATTAGCGGCACATACTACATAACGTAAAAATTTTAAGTAGAAAAATAACTCACAAGAAATATCAGAAACAGTTTAAAGAATAAGAAAACAATTATGAAAAAAACAAAAGAAAAAAAAAATTTACCCAGTATCACAAAACTTCAATCTGATAGCATGGAAGTAGCCATGCTACCAGAATGCTGTACGAGAAGGCTGAAAGTAATTACATTGGGATGTCTTATAGTCAAGTTTTATCCAACTGATGTTGGTGTTGAATATAATATAAATACAAACCCAATGAAATAATATAATGTAAGAATTAATATATTTAAATTAATAATACACATGTACTTTTACACCATTTTTATTAATGTAAGTCTTAATATTTGTTGGTTATAATTACAATATAATAATATCATTTTTTTAAATTACAGGCTCTTTGCTAGTTGACTCATTTGCATAATTCACTGGACCATGGTCTCACTACAATGATGTAATGGTAATGAATATTCATTATCAGACAGTTGAAACTGCAAAAATCAGGAAACTGCTGAAATGACACCACAGCAAAAGCAACTTCTAGATAGCATACGTATGGGTTTCACCTCAGCAAATCTCACACAATGTAATCTCCTACTGCTTGCTGCTAAATCCACAATTGGACCAATGTTTTAAATGTAAGTCCAGAATCCAGAAGTTTTTAATGGTTGCTGATTGTTTGAGTTTAATTTTTTTTTTGTTTAGTTTGCTTAGCGCCATTAACGAATGTTGCTAAGTACACTACAAAATTTAGATTGTACCTTATCATTTCAAGATCAACGTTTTTGAATACTTAATTGTTCTTTATGGCCTAGATGTTATTTTACTCTATTTCCAAAAGAAAAAATGTTTGTCAAGACTGAATTTAGAGAAACAATTGCTCTTCAAACTTAGTGAATCTTCAACCTTTTAATACAGCATAGGCCTTGGCTAGCCGGGGTAGGTAGGCTATAGGCCTAGGGGAAAGGATAGGTCTCACGGCTGTTTCATTACATACATAATCGCGACATTAAGTGTTTAGAACACGCTTTTTATTACGATAAGACAGCAGCTACTTCATGAAGTTCTTTAGGATAGTCCAAAGCAACAAAATTTCTTGAAAATATATATTTGATTTTATAGAAATAAACTAATTTAATAATAAAATTTTCAAGTATACGTTGATATTTTATAGGAATAGGCTTTATAGATGCTGTATTCACTGAGATACCATATAGAATCCTAGTAATTATATAACTTTGAATGACTTTATTTTCTGCACAATTGCTGTTGAATTGTAAATATACAGCACCCTCGCACCAATATATAAAAATCGTAAAAGTAAACAAAACTCTTTCGCATGTAACTGTTTATAATTTTTTAGAGTTAATTTGCAAAGCTACCCTAAGAAATAATTATGTTGTTATTACGTTCAACATACCTTTGTTAGGACGTAAGACCTATAATTATTTTTTAACTTTTTCTTCAACCTATTTTTTGTCTCTTTAGCTTAGACGTGTTGAAGACTATGCATACAAAGTGTTTTTTTTTGCGCTCTAACAACCCCCTACGCCGGCGTTCAACGAACCCGTAAAGGGGGCCTGGGAAGTATTTACCTTGTTACATAAGCTGTTATATAAAATTAGTAGGACCATATACAAATTAATAAATTAAAAAATAAAACAATTCAAAACCAATTTCGTTTAACAAAAATACATTTTTTTCATAACATGGGCTTAATTATGCAAAATGAAGAATACAAATTACATCTTTAATTTATATTATTAAATAATGTAATATTCTCTTCATTTTTTTTTTGCAAATTATGTGATCAAATGTAGGCCTATTATTTTTTTTAACTTCATAGTTATTAGTAAACATTTTTTTGTTTAGTAAAAAATAATAACCACAACACAATAAATCTTTTACACAATAAATTATCTAGGTCATACTCTAGTAAATTATTATTATTATTATTATTATTATTATTATTATTCATATCAGGCCTACTATTATTATTAATATTATTGTTATTATTAAGGTATGTCAAACATCAAATCGAAACCATTAATTTACTGCAATAATTCATTATCCATCCTTATTCTGTATTATTAAACTGTTGTGAACAGATAAAATTAATATTAAGTATCATTTTTTTTTTAGTCAACCGACACTCAATGCTTATTAATAGAAATGTTATTCAGAAATAAAGGCTACATATTGAAATAACATGAATATTAAAACAAATATTAGTATTCATTATATTATAAACAATACAAAAAGACAAAATTATAAATAGCCTTAATAACTTAATTTTCTTATTTTAATCTGAACATATTTATATATCAAAAATCCATATTAGATCATTATTAAGTTATATAATATTGCTCTAGAAATCAAACAATATTTTGATATTAAATGTGTCATTGCTTATCTGAGATATTTTATTTAAATACGAATTCCACTGCACAGAGTATTGTTGATAGGCCTACATTACCAGATACTGTACATCTGCGATGTAAGCCTACTGTACACTGCCTGCAGTGAGAAGATACCACACCAGTATGTAACTGAGTGTGTAAACATTAACAATATTAAAATGATTTTAATGTTGTCAATATACTCATAAATAAATAACATGTTAAAATTATAGTTAATTAGAGAGAGATCAATATTGTTTCCCAGAAAATCATGAAATAAATTAGTATCATCAGCAAATAATCTAAATTCGAAAAAACTGGTGCAATTAGGAAGGTCGTTGATATAAATGAAAAAAAAAGGGTTGGACCCAACACTGACCCTTGTGGTACTTCACATGAAATTGAAAGTGGTTGACCTCTTATACTATAATGTTGCAATTTAGATATCAATATTGCATGATTAATTATATCAAATGACTTCGTAAAGTCAATAAAAATGCCAATTGAATTGTTGTCATCATTAATTTGTTGGGGGAAGATGGTTAACTAAATTTATAAGTGACAAATTTTGTGCTATATTTCTCCCAGAACCCATATTGATGAAATATATTAAATTTTTCAAAAAAAGTAGTCAGTCTATTATTTACAATTTTATCTAGATTTTTGCTAAGTATTGGTAAAATTGAAATTGGGCTATAGTTTCCAGGGTTGTCTTTAGAACCTTTTTTTGTATAAAGGAGTAACTCTGGCTATTTTAAGCGAGTCAGGGCATTTTCCCTACAGTAAATAAATATGACTTTGTTATACTTTCAATGTTCCCACTGAATATAATAATCGAGTCGTACTTGATTTTTTGCTTCCAACAAAGTGTCCATTTGTAGAAGTGTTATGAAGATAAGCCTATCTAAATATTAACGTTAGCAATAGAGGGACCAGTCCAGACCTCCAAATTTAAATTGATAAAGAAAGGGTAGGCCTAGTTTTAAAATAAGCTTATAATGAATGTCTGTAAAGTGAAAAATAATGCCACTTCAGTGAATTTGTTATACTTACAATGGTTTTATGTTTTATAGAATGGCATGTTGGTAAGCAAGCAGATTGAGATAGTGACTTGTTTAGCAGCAGTTTAAATTGAGAAAGCGGAGAGCAACACAAGAACAGATTCTGGTAAGTGGCTATATATTTTATGTTGTGATATAGGCCAAGTATTAAGTGTTATTTTATTTTATTTTTTTTATAAGAAATTTTTTTTGTACAATTTTATAATGCTGCATTTTCATTGATGGACATCTATCCACCAGTTCATTAATTTAAGTTTTCATCCTACTTTTCTCCATTAGTAGTGTTATTTTATTTTTTTTTTTATAAGAAGTTTGTATTGTACAATTTTATAATGCTGCATTTTCATTGATGTACATCCATCCACCAGTTCATTAATTTAAGTTTTCATCCTACTTTTCTCCATTAGTAGTGTTATTTTATATTTTTTTTTATAAGAAGTTTGTATTGTACAATTTTATAATGCTGCGTTTTCATTGATGTACATCCATCCACCAGTTCATTAATTTAAGTTTTCATCCTACTTTTCTCCATTAGTAGTGTTATTTTATATTTTTTTTTATAAGAAGTTTGTATTGTACAATTTTATAATGCTGCATTTTCATTGATGTACATCCATCCACCAGTTCATTCATTTAAGTTTTCATCCTACTTTTCTGCATTCGTGCATTATCACCATAAGATATCACTCAGTATAATCAAACATCTTTGAGTATGCAGTGTTGAATGCGTAAGAAATGCGCCAAGAAAGATCTGAGCATTGGCAAGCATTGCCTTGGTTTGTATTATAGTTAACCCTTTAAAGTCCCAAGGGGGTCTATTCTAAGTCTCTGGGGCCCCTTAAGGGGTTTTAATAGGTTTCTGAAAAACGCATAATAAATTTTTTATGACTGTAACTTTCTGCAAATGTTGGGTTTGCCCCAAAATTGCAATTTCGGGGCTCAAAAAGGGTACTTTTTTTCCTATAAACCCCATGTAAACGACACTAAAAAAATTCCTATGATCATAAATGTTACGCATTATGTGGAATATGCTGTTTTCTAGAGAAAAAAAAATTATGCTTTTGTATTTATGACGATTTTTTTATGCCCAAGGTCACAAAGGTCATTGAGGTCATAATTTGGAGAACGGCCTCTATCACACGCCCCCTCCCCCGAGAGAGAGAAGTCAAGTAAGCCTGGCTAGGCCTACATATGCTTATTTCTAACTAAGGTGGACTACGGACCTAGGATATATTTCACTAAAACTACACTTGATGAAATAATAATATAATATAATAATAATAATAGAGAAGATGGGGATAGGGTATTGATATATGAGATGGGGGTCAATGTACATGACCAAACCCGAAATGAACGTTTGCAGACCTAGACCTAGCATTACTGGTTGCGCTGCTAAAGTTTCTAATTAAAATCTTTCCTCAGATTCATATTATTTATATTATTTATTAATTAATTAATTAAATAATTATTATATAAACAATCATGCTATCCTCGTCATCCATACGGTATGCCATACCACTCTATGGTCATACGAAGACGAAATTAAAACAAAAGAATGAAAAACAACATTGCATTGCAAGTACACTACGGAATTTAGATTGTACCTCATCATTTCTATAGGGAAAATTTCCCACCAATAAATAAACACAACTTGATCTCTTGCTTTGAACAAGGTATCCATTCATAGAAGTTAAATGAAGACAAGCCTATCTGAGAGTGACTCTAAGGTAGTCGAGACCAGGATATATCTCCGACTTTAAATTGAACAAAGATTGAATTATGTTAATTTTAGAACAAATATACAGAGACTAGCCCATAAACATAAACAATTATATTTAAAAACTTAATAAATGTATGTGTATTAGTAATCTGTTGTAATTATGGATAAAATAACTTAAAATACGAAAGAATAAAGGAAGAAGGAAGAAAAGGAAAGAAACTCGGGGCGGCTGTAATATATACTAAAAATATACAATAATAATCAGTATGTCATTATTGCATTACGTTTTTTTTAAATTTGAAGGCACTAATTGTCAGAGGTCACGGTGACGGCAGCCTACACATTTCATAATTTGAAATCGGGGCTGGCCATAATGTTAAAAGCTATATTTTCCCTTTATTTCACAGAAAAGTGTCCCCTTAAAAGGGTGTCCTCTGAAGTTGTGTCCCAAAAGAGGATTCTACTTTATTTTCTCTACTCTATTTAAATATGTGCTAACCCAACATGTAAATGCCTTGTCATGATTGGTTATTAAGTATTCTAGGTCTTCAGATTCTCATTTGAAACACATTTAAAAAATACATCTAAACAATTTTAAGTGTCTATGTCTTTATGATCACAATTAAAATCCTTTTATTTTTTTTGGTCTTTTTTGTCTACTGATATGGTTTCATCTTAATAGTTAAAATATTTAACTTGTGATATATTACGACATATTAGTTTCATTAATTCGGCTTAAAATACTGTGACCTTTAATTTTACAATTGAATAGAGTTTAGTTCCGCATTCTGGGATTTTCAATAGTTCAGCAAAATTCTCATTTTTTGATCGCCCCTCCCTCCCATCCCCGGGCCGAATCTTTCCCTGTAATATGTTGTCGTTTGTAAATTTGTAGTTTTCTATTTTTAAAAATTTGTTAATGAGTATAAATAATCTTGTTTATTTTATAGAGTGGCATGTTGGTAAGCAGGCAGATTGACATGAGTGACGTGTTAAAAAGGAGTGTTTTCACTTCATGAAATAATAATTTTAAAAATGGATTACAACTGAAGAAATACCAGATTCTGGTAAGTGGCATGTTTTCATGCAGTACTTGGTAAAAACAACTTGATTTCTTGCTTCGAACTAGGTAGCCATTCGTATCTTCATAAGATTAATAGTGACGTTAGAGAGTCAAGACCAGGACAAAACTATGTTTCAAATTGAAACATATTGTTAAAACATAAGAAATGGTAGGCCTAATTTTAAAATAAGCTTATAATAAATGTAGATATAAATATTTTGCAAAAAACCAATGGTTTTGTAGAAAATTTTTGACTTTTTAAAAATTTGATCTTGTTTATTTCAAAGAGCAGCATGTTGATAAGCAGTGATTGAGAGCTTAATAGAAAATGTTTAAAAAAAAAAAAGCTGCAGTCATTTTTTATAGAGACGTTAAATTATACAATGTTCCATTGTCCTTGAAAGAACATGTAATTATATTTGATAGACCATCCCACCCATCATTTTCCATTCATGCAAAATCACCGTAAGTGAAATACACAAAATCAATACATAACACTCAGTATCTATCTAACATTTACAATGTTTGATGATACTGAGAGTTATGTACCAATTTTGTGTATTTCACTTACAGTGATTATGCCATGTATAAAGCACCTACAGGAAAGTCTATGGTAAACTCTCCATATAGGTGGGCACATTGACAAGCGTTGCCTCGGGTTGTATTATAATCAAGTTTTATACAACGGATGTTAGTGTTAAAATAATATAAAGTTATTGTATGTAGAATATCTATTAATAATAAAGTGTGTTATTTTGCAATTAATTAAGAAGTAATTAAAATAATGAAAGTCATAATATTTGTTGGTTAAATTAGATATCATTTCCTTTTTAATTTCAGTTGATTTATTTGCATATTCCACCAGACCAACTATCCTCATTACCAGGCAGAGAAATGATGAATATTCATTGCATTCAGCTAGAACAGCAAAAACCAGCAAAACTGCAGAACTAACACCAAGTCAAGAACAACTTCTGAGAGGCATATATATCTTTCAGCGGGGCCAAGGGTGGTGGGTGGCGCGTAGGTTCCACGCGTGGCGATCGCCTATAATGGGCGATTGCTTCCGCTTGGATAATCCCAACTGTCTTATTGCGCGAGACGCTGACGAAATTTTCCAAAAAAGTTTCGTTAAGATTTATTGGATTGTAGAATATGTGGTGTTTGAAATACAGTACACTACAAATTGTAGTACAATGAAAATAGTGTTTCATTTTGTTTTATTCAACATTGTGCGAATTTTAACTAAGTCCAGAATAGGACTGAACCATTTACATTTACACTAAGTCCAGAATAGGACTAAACCATTTACATTTACACTAAAGTCCAGGATTTTAACTAAGTCCCGAATAGGACTCAACCATTTACATTTACACTAAAGTCCAGAATTTTAACTAAGTCCAGAATAGGACTGAACCATTTACATTTACACTAAGTCCAGAATAGGACTAAACCATTTACATTTACACTAAAGTCCAGGATTTTAACTAAGTCCAGAATAGGACTCAACCATTTACATTTACACTAAGTCCAGAATAGGACTAAACCATTTACATTTACACTAAAGTCCAGGATTTTAACTAAGTCCAGAATAGGACTCAACCATTTACACTAAAAGTCCAGAATTTTAACTGAGTCCAGAATAGGACTCAACCATTTACATTTACACTAAGTCCAGAATTAGACCAATAATTTACACCAAGTCCAAGAAGTCCATAATTTCACACTAAGTTCAAGATAGGACAACTAATTTACACTATTCCAGAATTTCAACCAAATCCAGAATTGGACCAATAATTTACACTATGTCCAGAATAGGACCAACAATTTACACTACTTTAACCAAGTCCAAAATAGGACCAACAATTTACACTATTTACAATCTCAGTACAAAATTTTAACTAAGTCCAAAATAGGACCAACAATTTACACTATTTACAATCTCAGTACAAAATTTTAACTAAGTCCAAAATAGGACCCGCAATTTACACCAAGTCCAGAATAGGACCATCAATTTACTCATTCTCATTTCTGGTTTTATTAATCAACTCATTGTCCAGAATCCTCAGCATTTTAAGTACAGTACTGTAATTCCAGAATTGGGCCAGCATTTTAATCGGACTAACACTAAGTTACTTACAAACACAAACCTGACTTCTTTTCATAACCACCAATTTTATGAATGTACAATAAATGTCTTTGCAGTGTACAGTAGAATCCCATAATCCTTTTGCTTCATTTCCATACATCACAGTTTGCAAAGCTTCAGGTAACAACAGCGTATGTAGCAGGATTCAAATAAATCAGTGTCTATTCCACACAATTCTATATCAAAATTTGACTTTCTATAGTTCACTTGCATTATCTCAAAATCTGACTTTGCTAAGCTTCAAGCACCATACAGCTACTAGCACCATACAGCTACTGTTGGTACTGAATCAGTCTTGATTTCCCACAATTCATTGCTCAACCTTCTGTATAACAGCCTTCGTTTCCCACAGTTCATCTGCTTCATTTGTACTTAGCGAGCTTCCTAAACTAATCAGTCTGCCCATCATTCATCTGCTTTACATTAACAAGCTCCTACTGAATTCTAGTCTTGATAGCCCACAATAAATCTGCTCAGCAAGTGTTTTCCTAGAAATTATAAAAAACAAAAACTATTAACTATGAAAGTAAAATTATAATTTAAACTAGTTAAAATAATTGTATATGTTTGTACCATCATTACAGTATTTGTAAATCACTGTTATCATATCCAATAGTGTAACACTGGGGTCGAGGGCTCTGTGGCTTTCCTAGGATTGCCTGGTCGGCAATTCCATTTTGGGACTTTTTGTTTATTGAATCTGTCATTGTGTTCTAAATTTTTTTAGAATAAATTTGCAGAATAAATAATCAGTGATGAATCCAGGAATTTGATATAGATGGATGGGCCCAGTGAAGAATTTTTACAGACGAATGGTCTCGGCCCCAACCATGGTGGGTAAGAAAATTTATGACTATAGCACCCAGATGACTGGAAATGGCACTTACAGATTTAAAATTTGAATATAATTTTATTTTTATCTCTATTTTTTTATTTTAACAAACTTAGGGGGCCCGGTTAGACCGTGTTTGATCCGTCACTAGATATAATATGGACTACAGTCCATGTCAGACACACATTATGCATTGTATCATTCAAGCTCTTTTGTGTGAGGGGTTCTAGATCAAGGACACTATTGATGGGGGGGGGGTGCCCTGTGGACAGTAAGTAGGCTAAATGCTAGTGCTAGGTGTATAAAGTGCGATAAATTACGGTAATCTGTACCGGACAAAGTACTGTAAACACTTTTATATACCTCCATGTACAATGTTTGGGTACTGTCGCTACTCTTGTTAAAAAAATTTTGATCCGATTGAGGGCGTAGTTTATTTCATATGGAAGGCCATGTTCATTATTTTTTAAACTTGTACGTATTTATTGTATTTCTTTAGTTATTTCATAGATTTGTATGATTAAAAATATATAGTCATATTAAGCAATTATAATGTATCAAAATGCATTGTGATACTGTTAATTATTAGCGAACTAATCAATTAGCTTTTCATAAATTTTATCCACGTGCCATTTTCTGGCATCAAAATCTTGAAGTCTCAAATTCTTAAAATTTTCCAACCATGTGGGGTTGGGGGCTCAGGTGGATATGGTTGATTTTGGAATTATAAGTATTTAAGTGCCTTTTTCGGGCACCTGTTTAATTAATTCGTTTTTTTTTACTCATCTCGTCAAAAATACAAAGAATTAAAATGTACTTTGTGCATCCACAGGCACAAACTACTGAAAATTTTCTCACGTCACTCCCAACCAAGGTGCCACTGACGTGGTTTGGACTCTCATTTTATCACACTCCCCTCCCCCTCCTTAAATTCTGGATAAGCCACTGATAACAACGGGGGTGAGGGGAATTTAGGTTTAAGTTTATCAAATATATAATTCAATGGTTTAAAATATTTTATGCAAAAAAGTTGATTATATTTTCGTTTCAAAATATTTAAAGTAGTCTCATTTTCCAGTGGGTTCAAGGCACCCCCTTCCTCCCCCTACCCACCCTCCAATTTAAAAAAAATGAAATTTTATTCAAATTCAATCCAAGAGTGCCTAATCATAAAATTTCTTACCTCAGCCCCAACCATAGTGGGACTGAGCTGGATGTACCCTCTATCTGAGACAATTCCTCTTTGGGCCCCTCCATTACGAATTCTTGTATCCACCGCCGTTTTTTTCAAAAGGACGATCATTAGTAAACAAAAATTGCTGTAACACTAATGTCAAGTAGCCCTTTTTTAAAACATAAAGCATCACATTTTTGGGATTTATAAAGGTCGATGTGCAATTTACTATGACATTTAATATTACATAGGTCGCGACTTGTCTGGGAAATCACAAATTGGGTCCCAGAAAAAAAAGTATGGGAAGCTGGGTTTCAAAATCATCAACATTGAGTAACAGGTTGAGTTTATGAATTTGAAAATCATTTCTTTACCTGCAGCAATGTGAGCCAATCATGGCTTGAAGATCACTCAACTTTTTCCATATTCTAAAATAAAGAACATAACAAATAATTGTACAAAAAAACTTTAAATATGCATACCAAATCGTAATAATTCAAGTAACTAAATGGATTAATGAGTAATGGATCCAGGAGACGGTGAATATACAATAGAACAAAGTATTGTAAACATGGTGGTAATTTTAAGTTAAATAATTATATAATGTTATACCACAACAATGACGGAAGAAAAACAACATAATGGCAATACTGGAGGACGTGTTGTCACATGATCATTCAAATGTGACTGTATGCTTGAATGATTAAAGGTGTATCTGTGTAAATACATAAGTTTCCATGAAGACATGGGCGTCGTGGTTGAAAGTGGGGGGGGGAATTTGTGGTGGTGCCAAGGTCCCCAACGGGCATATGGGTGGGGGAGGGGGATTATTGGGGGCTGATATCCACGACAAGGAAAAAAAATTAGGCATGGTCTGGCATCGCTAAAAACCTTTTGGAAGTGGTTCGGGTGAGATGCCCCCCAGAAAATACAACAATTTATGGGTTTCAAGGGCTTATTTCATCAATACCAGGGCAAGGGGGGCTTCCTAGTGCCCAAGTGGAGTCCACGAGGCAAATTCCTGGGAAGCCTGGAGTCGTATCTAATTGATTTTAATAAAAAATGCAGTTAACATTTTTATTTCCACACTACATTTTTAAAATACAGTGGCAGATCCAAGAATTTGAAAGGGGGATTTACTTAATTTATCATTGTCAGTGGCGGATCCAGGAACCCAAAATAGAGGGGGTGGGGGCCCCTGACCCTGAGGGGCCCTATCCATAGGGTCCTAGATCTAGCACCCTGACCCAAAAGGGCTTTGCTGATACATAACAAATATAATTAAGTATGTCTCTAACATCAACTGTTGGAAATTTTATTAGGCCTTTATCCAGTGCCGGATTAACGGAGGCCCAAAAATTTGTCAAAATTTGTTTTTAAAATGGAGAAAGTTTAAGTCTGTGAGTGTCATTTCCTGCTGTCTAGAGATGCCATAATCATTAATTTTCTTACCTCAGCCACAAACATGGTGGGGCTGACATGGTATAGACCCTCCATTTGTGAAAGTCCCTCCTTGCTCCTTCCTTCCCCTATGAAATTCTTGGAACCGCTGATATAAAATACGAGCACATCTAAAATCTCCCAACAGAATTGGTGACTGCCCAAAAAGACCCCGTTAAAAACATTTAGAATACGTTTTAAGTTTGTAATATGTTTTAAGTTTATTTCTATAAACTGTTTTTAAACAGACCTGAAAGCTTAGATTTACACAATTATATTGTGATAAATGGCAACAGAAAAATAATACTAGCCATATGAAATATTCATTATTCATTACTGTAGGCACATAGTAAAAGATTTTTCTAATGAGGATTCACCTAATCATGCTTTTTATAAGTCGTCAGACCTGTTTAACTGTCTGAAAATAAACACATAGATTGAATTTTTGCAAACCTGCTCGTGACCCAACGCAAAAGTTTGGTGACTGATTTTTTGTGTCACAACCCATAGTTTGGGAAGCATGGATCTAAACTCTAGTGTGGATTACTCACGTCAATGTGTTCTTTAAATTGAATTAATGTGAAACTATATTTAAAGTCAATTGAAGGATATAACTTTTTGTG